TCCCTTCCCACTCACAACACACTATGATTCTGTGATTCTCCATCACCTCTACAGTGGAAGATGATTCAGGCGTTCAGTAGGACCACGTGTCAGGGAAATCCAGACTGGGAGGAGACAGCCTGCCCTGTGATCACTCCCACGTTGTCCTCTCTTACTACACATACCAACAAGCTTTGGTTTGACCTCCTGACCCATCTGCATCAAGGTGAGGCAGCTCCATTAGCATTATCTGCTGGCCATTATGGAAATCCATTATCAAAGCATCTAACAGCCTACTCAGGAAAACCAAATATTCTCCTCCGCAGCTTTGTAACTCCATTAGTTGCCTACACAAGCAAAAGCCCCACCACCAGCAAAACCAATTCCTTCTCTTTACTGAGAACATCTCCAGGGCTTACCTTATCTGAGCATTCAGCCCAAAAAAGGAATGGGACGCGACCCTGGCATCGGGCTGGACACTGCAGTGATCCAACAGCGGCGTAAGAACTGCAGGAGAGAGTCAGACACATGGTGTCAGCAGCCTGGTGAGGAGCAGGGTGGGGTGGCCACTCACCACAGCCAGGGCTGAGGAGACAGCCCCATCCTGGGGGGACAACACCCCACTGGGCCTGGCTGCTGCATGAGGACCCAGGCAAGGAAAGGGGGGAGGACGCTGCTGGGGGTTCTGCTGAGTTTTGATCTCTGGGTGGATGATGGAAACAGATCCAGAGTAAACAAAAAAGAACAACAAACCTTTTTTTCCCCCTCCCCGCAATGAAATAAGGTGCAATTTTCTACACTTAACGCTGACGGCCTTTGAACCCGAACAAGGGTTTTATTTCAGTCACCGTGACGAGCAGCAAAAAAGATGGTTTCAACCAACACAAACTAAAGCTCTGTTTGAGAGCTGGTTATTCCTGCTTGCGAGGACACACCCTCCTCTGGGCCCAGCGGGGCTGAGTATCTCCTTTCATGGACAGCAGCACCCAACTGGATGAAAGCAGGAGTGATGGGCACCCACAGAGAGCACATCTAAAGCCCAACAGTGCCTCGGAGGGAAAGCCAAGAGAGACTCACTGTCTCTGCTCTGGGCAACCCCGGGGTGAAACACTTCCTTGCTCCAAGACTCTGGTTTTCACCCTCCCCCTACTTGCACGTCTCCAAGGAAGGGGCATCAGCTGCACAGCGGGGAGAACAATCGCTGATCTCTTCTGAACACGTGGCTGGCTCATGGCTGCGGGGGCCATACCTGGCTCTCACCACGCTCTCGCCAGCCCTGCCAGGGTGGGAAGGCTGAATCCCACCAGGTCCTGGTTTTTGGCTGCGTCACCCTCTGAGTCAGGGCTCCCATCTCCCACGGACAGAGGCAAACACTGTTTGCAACCCACAGGCAAAGTGCTGCCTCTGCATTTGCCTGCCTGGAATGCAGCCTTCGCTCTCACAGTGACAAAGCCTGCGGGGATGGACTTACCGGTGGGGACAGACTTACCGCTTGGGAACATGATCAAGGCGAGCTGGATGAGCCGGGCAGCTCTCTCCCGGGCTTGGCTTCGCTCAGACTCTGATCTCTCCTCCTGTTGGCTCAGGAAGAAATAGGCCAGTGGCACCGAGAAGGCAAAATTGGGCAGCTGGGACAAATTCCGGTGACTCTGCAGGATGAGAGGGACAGATTTACCGAGAAATGATGCTACACAGAACGATCTGGATGGGGCTGGGCTGCACACAGGCTGGGGTTTCTTGCTCACTGGATTAAAGTTACTTTCCAGCTGTTGGCTGGGTGCCCCCACAACTGAGTAAGCAATTTTAAGCGTGTGCAATTGTTTGCAGAGTAGTGGGATTACAAGAACAAACACCCCAGGCCTTACGGGTCATTCCGATGATGTTTGGATGCCAGCCTGGCCATCAGACAGCCCCCAAAGGGATAAACTGGTTACAAAAACCTCGTGCTCTGTGGCCCATCCCAGGCAGGGAGAGCCCCAGGGACCAGCTCTCTCCTCTCTCACCAGCTCTGCCTGTTGCCAACTCACCTCCCACTCCTGGAACATGCGGGTCAGGAAGGTGTATTCTCGAGCTCGGAGGGACAGAAAATCGATCAGAAGCAGGACACAGAGCGGGTCGTTCTCTGGATCGAGGCTTCAGAGGGAGGAGAGCACAAAGGGAGGAAACAAAATCAGTGTCACCAAAGCTGAAGTAGCTGTCCTCATTTTTAAGTCACACAAGACTTTCCCACTAGCAGCCAGAGAACTTCCATGACTCAGCAAGCGGAGATAACGGGAACACAATCGCTCCTGCATAGCTGGGATGACGGTGCAGTGCCCTGCCTGGTCTGTGTCCCTGCAGAAGGACCTGTCACCCCCCAAGGGGGAGGATCCATGGCCACAAACCAAGCAGGCTGATGCCCACATTGTACATCTGCTCTGCAGAGACTCTAAGCTCCGCTACAACATCCCCTTGGCAGGGACACCTACCTCAGAATCAGCTTGCAGAACTCCAGGGCTGTCCGAGGACATCCTCTCTTCTCCAGGAACATCAGGTGCTTGAACAGAGCCAGGAAGAAAGCCCTGTGTGGGGAACAAGAGCAGGTTTGAGAAGCTGGATTTGGAGAGAAGCACCTCGTGCCACTCAGGAACAGGAACACACCATCAGCCCCAGCTCCCTGCCCCCCTGAGCACCAGTGCTATGGTGCAGCTCGGGGGGTCCAAGGAACCCAGTCTGGTGCAGCACGGGGTGCCACAGACCCCCCAAATTCCCATCTCTTACTTTTTGTATCTCTTTGTGCATGTACAGGAACAGCAAACCCGTGTTCTGCTCCGCAGACCGGGGCCAACAACTCAGACAACAGAAACAAGTAAATCCCCTGAGTCTGCCCCCTGCCTTGTCCCAGCCCACCCAGCTGCGTGGGGACAGCGACACAGAGTGTGCATGACATGGACGAGGGGAGGACCAACACCCAAAGCGGGTGAGATACAGATGGCAGCGCTCAGGCTGCAGCTGTGGCACGAAGCCCGTCAGTGAGCGGGTACTGGAAACCTGAGCAAGCTCCAGGTAGAGCAGTTTGGGAGATGACTGGGGTCAGCTGACTGGAAAATTCCCAGAATAAAGTCACCTTTCCCCGCAGCTGCAGAGCTGTCATTACATAAAGAACCAGGCCAGGAGCAGCACGAGTGCTGGGGACAAAGGCTGGGCAGGCAGCAAGTGACCAAGCACAGATGTAAACACACAGTGAGTATTTTCGTGATAAAAATAACTGCTGGTTTGGGTTTAGGGACGCTAACTGCACGAGGAGGATGTGACAGGGAGGAACAGTTAACGCTCTGGGAAGAAATCCCTGGGGAAAGAGGATGCTTTGCAAAAAAAAACCTCAGTGCATGTGACCCAACAGAGCAAGAGCTGCCGGTATCCCAGCATCCAACCCAGGAGCCCCGCTGCTGCCATGCCAAGGGGCACCGCCACCGGCAGCTTGTTCTGACAGAAAGGGCCACTCAAGGTTCCCCCACCAGTGCAGGTGACGCAGCAGACGTGGAGAATCTGGGTCTCTGTGTGCAAAGTAGGCCAGGGCACACCGCCACGGCTCTCCGGCAGGCACGGGGAGGGCAGGTGTGCTGCCTACCTGTTCTCCGGCCGCCGGTAGTCCAGCCGGCAGGTCCCGCTGGTGAGGCTGAAGACGGGGTGGAAGGTGCATTCCAGGCTGTACAGCGCTCGCTCTGCAGGTGACAAGGACAGCGTCAGGCCATGCCACCACCCCAGCCCTGCTGCTCACAAAACGGCAGTTATTTGGCCCAGAAAACACTGATAACAGAGAGCTCTGGCACCCATGAAATGAGCTTGTTCACACTCTAGCAAGGCACAAAGATACTTCAAAGTATGTGGCTGCAGCAGATAGCTGGGCAAGCGAGCCCTGTTCCTGTCTGCGGGCACGAGATCATGCTCTGGTTGTGAGAGTTAACTCTTCTGCAGAAGGTCTGGGATGGAGGCTGGTTCAGCTGCCTCTGCCACAACTATCTGCACACAGGGAAGCCAAAGATCCTGTCCTCACTTCACTTCTGGCCCTTCCTATCATGCTGGAGAGCACGTGCCCTGTTACCAAACAGCACATCTGATGCCCGAGACTACAGCATGGCAATCTGAGGAGCCACCATCCCCCAGGATGCTTCCTGCAAGGGACACCCTACAGACAGGACCCCCTGACATCCAGACAACCCTTCCATTCATTTTGAAGGCGAAGGCCAATGTGCTTTGTCCCAGATGAGCACATCTGCCTTGATTTAAAAGCCTCCAGCAAAAGCTGCTGGTCTGCAGGATCACCCAAGTCTGAGCGCCGATGGCCCAGTCACAGACACGGAGCCAAACCAACCCTTCTGGTTTACTGCTTCTTGTTGGAGCAAGCCCCAAACTGAACAAGTGTCATTACTAATTCATGCCAGGACATTTGCTCCTCACCTCAGCTCTTACCTATGAGATCACGGGCCATCTCCTGATCCTCCTGCATCCGGCACACGTCACTGAGCTGCAGAAGGGAGTCCACGTGGTATGGGTTCATCTGAAGCAGCAGCTGCAGAAGAACATGAGCTTGGTTACATGATGGCACACGTCATGGTGTGAGGAGGAGAGCTCCGTAAGTGTGGCAGGGAGGCAAACACCCTGACACTACACGCAAGAGAAGGGCTGTTCTTGCCCCTGGGGCTGAAGTGAAGGAATCCTGTCCACTCTGTAAGACATCAGGAACTCTGGAACAGCAACAAGTGACAAATGCCAGAGAAAGGAAAACAAATATCTGAGTCTATAGTCTGAGTGTGAGTGAGGGGCCTTCAAAAGGGCACTCGACAATAAACACCATCGGAGAGGCAATGCTTGGGCTGGGGACACACCGCATGTCAGAGGCTAAAACTCCAGATTGAAAGAGTAGAGATCCATCTCATCCCATCTCCAGAAGAAGATGCCTGGGAAAGAGGCACACCTGATGACTCCCAGCACACTCTAAGCCACCAACCTTCAGGGATTCAGGGACCCCCAGGGTCAAAGATGCTGGCTCTCAGGTTGGTTGCTGTTGTACAACATCAAACCTCACATGGTTTGATGGGAAGCCCTGAGTCCAGGCAGAACTGATGAGCTGGGGAGAGCAGCGGAGGGTGGGAAAGCAGAAGGAAGTAAACTTCATTTAGTAAACAATGGGCTCTTTAAGGGACTTCTCCAGGGCATGAATCCCAGCTCACGTGGCCAGGGTTTTCAGAGCAAAAATACCTCAGTTCTGGTTCAGTAGGGTGCAGAGCAATTTCACTGGTGCTTATCACTGCAAACTATAAATGTTACCATACAGTGTAATGAACTTGGACACGCATGAAGAACTTTCAACACAAAGGCTGTTTTGATGAAATTCCAAGAAAAGACACATTTTTCATCCATGCAAGAGTTTATAAATAGAACAGCTGTTAGTTTAGACTCCCACTTAAAGACCAGTTTATACAATATTTTCCTTTTCCAGCTGAAGAGCTCAGACAAGGGAGCTTTATTCCCACCCTTCCAGCCAAACGGTCAGTTCCTCTGGGTTCCTCTTCCAGATGGCTACTGGATACGCTCCTGGGCCAAGCCACCAGCCCTCATGTGCACCAAGGTGGTCACTTATGAATAAGGTGAAAGCAGAGCTCAGCAAGCAACGCTGCCTCACCCTCCATGGAGAGGGCACAGAGCTCTGCTGCTTCAAATGAGACTGGTAAAAAAATAAACACTGGGATCCATCAGCCCAGCTCCCAACACCCCCAGTTCCCTCAGCTATGAACTCATCACACTTGTGCTCCAGACCCTTCCCCAGCTCCGCTGCCCTTCTCTGGACACGCTCCAGCACCTCCATGTCCTTCTTGGAGTCAGGGGCCCAACACTGAACCCAGTTCACATAAACTGAACACAGAAATGTACCACAATGTTGTTGGGGTCCATGGATTCTACGGCATCCAGGAACTTGAACTGGACTTGCTGGTACTCGCGATGGTGCTCGAAGGTGAAGTGCTGCACTCCCCTCCTAGTGTCCAGCAGCTGCATGGCAATACCTGGATGGTGCACAGGAGATGTGGGTACCACTGCTGCCAGCACGAGCAGCAGGAGAAGCTCTTCTCCTTTGTTATCACACAGAAAGCCCGTTCACAGCACTGGGTCCAAAGCCAGATGTGTTTTCAGAAACTCACAGAGAATCTCACTCCTTTCCCCCAAGGGGAAACCCACCCGAGAAGCCCAGGCAGCTCGCTCTCCCCTTGGATACTTCCCATTATCTAGCAGGACTGCTGTCAGAAGGGAAGTGCACATCATCTCCAATAAGGGAGGAAAAAAAGCTCAGATGCTAAGACACACTACGACAGAGCTCTCCCTGTTGAGACAGGAGGCATTTCCATCAGCTGTTCCCTTTCTGCATCAGCCAGCGCAAAGCCTGGGCCTGGCAGCTGATGAAAGCAGCTCCAGTTTCCGTGTGTGGAGAGCCAGGAAAGCCTGGCTGGCAGGAACAGCCACCCATGCCAACATGGGCACGGGACCAACGTGCCCCAGCAGTGTGGTGCTTCAGGAGGTGGCACCAAAAGCCTCACCTGTTTTGCTGTAGCGTGGCCAGGTGTTCTTGGGAGACGTCAGCCACGTGCTGCGGACGTACTGGCGCTGCCTCTGCCTCGGCCTGAGGAAATAAAGATGAGAGGTCACAGATTCTCTGTACTAACAGAATGAGGAAGGCTGAGACCAGCCAGAAAAAGGATGAGTCAGGGAAAAAAAAAAAGAAAAAAAGATCCAGCTTCTCCCCCAGCTGCAGCCCTGCCACATGGAGCTGTCGCCCAGAGCTGTAAGATATTTGCCTTCGAGACACAACGTACCTTCGCTCAGGCTCTGCCTTACTTGAACCATTCCTCTTTGGGCCAGCCAGTGCCTCCAGCATTTCCACTTCAATAGCTTCTCTCCCCTGTTTTTATCCCTCCCAAGTTCTCAGCTGCCTCTTTGCTTCAAACAGCTTCCCAAGCCCAATTAAGAGAGTCCCATACCCCTCTGACTCATCCCTCTCCCCGGCAATGCTTTCAAATGTCCACTGGTTTTGTTTAAGCCGTACTCACAAATGCAACTAATTTCTTGGTTTGGGGCAGGAGGAGTTCAGGAATCAAGGCTACTCTAAGACTAAAGTCATATCTCCTCAGCAAGGGACTGCTGCTGCTTCTTCAAGCCCTAAATATTCTTCCACAGACTCTCTCAGAGAAAGTTTCTGCTTCCAGCATCACCCCCCTGAGCTTCCACCCTTCTCATGTGTGTGTCTTTCAACCAGCCCATGAAAGCAGGGATTTCTGGATAACAGTGACCACAGAGGAATGATAACTGCATGGAGACCTCACACCCCAGCAGCAGTAGGTTCCCTGGGCCCCATAAAACAAGTGCTTGAGACCCCCTGGAAAGTATTGAGTGTCCACTCTGTAAGACACCAGAGACTTTGGAACAGCAACAAGTGACAAGTGCTGGAGAAAGGAAAATAAATCTGAGTCTATCATCTATGAATTTGATCGAGAGGACTTTAGAAGGGCAGTGGACAGTAACCAAGAGGGGAA